GCAAGTATACGTATCATTTCAATTAGTATAAGATTTTCCTTTAAGACCTCAATATCGATCCAACGAGGAAAGTGGTAACTCTTAAAATCAACTCATAGAATTTATATTTAAATTAAAAATTAAATAGATAAAAAATTTATAATGATATGCTTACTAAAAATTACTACTAAATAGTTAAAAAGAAAGTAACAACTTAATGTAACAGCTTAACAAAAGATAATAGCGAGTTTGGATATTATGGAAAACCTTTCCCCTTATAGAGAATTTTTTAACCTATGTAAGATTCAAGTGATTTAAGACAAAATTGATTTATTGTGACAAATAGAAGCGTGTCTTATTCTTTACCCCCTCCCGGTGCTAGCAGAGAACAATTACTAACTTAAGGTCAATTCCTTAACATCTAAGGTCAATTCCTTAACATCTTTATTCCACATCAGAACTATCTAGCCTGTCACCTCTAGATGCCCTTAAGCCTACACCTCTATGATGGTCGAATCCCAGCGTCAGGGTACTAAACCTTAAGTTAAATTAATAATAATCTAGTATGTCACTTTAGAAATAACCAATTTCACACCCATCAAAATATATCTCCCTATTAATTTGCACTCCCCTTTATGTGATCTCCATGACTTTGCCTAGAATAAAATGTGATATCCACTAGTTGGGTGAAATCATAGCCCTCCCAAGTCATTATGTTTCTCAATGGATTTTAAAATGGATTTTAACCTCACATTTAACCTCACAAGTGGCCAGTTTGTAAGGTAAATGAAGATTCGGTGAAAATACCATCACAATTTCTAAGAGTAAAAAGAAGTCTATACATCATTCTCATCCCATAAGATTAATTCCCATATGCAAGGAGAAAGAACCGTAACTACTCAAAATTCATTGAGATTAAAAAAAAAAAACAAAACGTTTGCATTGAAATTTAAGTCCTACAATAAAAACTTAAACAGAAACACAAAATACCTTATGCATTCTCCCTAACTAAACTTCTGGAGTTTTGTTTAAGCAATCTCCAAACTTTTACACAGTAAAACACTCTCAAACTTGCATTTAAACACAAAATAAGAAAACCTTAATTAACTATTACCGCCTAATTTAAGTTTTGAAGTTCCAAGAAGTCTCTAAATTTGCTTCAAACACCCCTCCAAAATTTGGCCAAATTTGATGGATCTTCTAGAAAGGTAGTTTTTGCCGCTATAACACCCATCTGGCTGGAATCTGGCACTATTAATGCCAGGAGTGGCAATATATCGCCACCTATATTTATCCATTTTTACTCTATTTTTCCCTCATTTTCTCTAAATATCCATTCCAAGTACCTGAAACTAAAAACATACAAAATATCTTTCTTTAAAGTTCAATATCATAAAAAATGTACATAAAATGTGTATAAAATATGCATTAAAAACAAGTTACTTTTAGGTGGATTAGTAGGTGGTTGAATTATAAGTCACGTTAGCCATGGCTAGTCACGTATATCATAGTGAAAACATGTGGGGAGAGAACTTCAGTAGTACAAAAAAGTCATTGCATGCATGGTGTGTTATTATACCATCTTCTAGATGTGTCATTGCACCATATAATGTGGACAATGTTACTCCATGTTCAAGATGATGCACTACTCTGTGGGGTACTTCCTTACTTCGTGACATTAGTTGTTACTCAGTATAATGCTTCATCACTCCACAATGTATGTCCTAACTTCACAGGGGTTTTGTTTAACTAGCAAATGGGGGCCGAAGAGGGTCGATGACGACCGACAAGAGGTTATCGACGGTGGTTCGTGGTCGTTGGAGCGGAAAGCATTTGTCGTGTCTTCCATCCATAACCACATTGTGATCTAACTCCTTTGTTGACCTCATTTTTTGTCAACTAATTAACATTTGACTCAATACACACTCATGGACCCTACCTAGACCGACATGATCATGCCTGGTTGAGGCTTATCTATGTCTAGAAGTTCTTGGGCATGGTCGTGCTTTGTTCAGGCGTGATCATGCTCAGATGTTTTTTGATGTGGTCATGTCCAGTTTGAGCATTACCATGCCCAATTATTTCTCAATGTGAGCACTCTCGATGCTAGCTTGACCACATCCCCAATCCATGCCAATGATCTGTGGTCTCCATCCACAGATCCAGAAAAGAATCTCCGCATTGCTTCACTAGCCTCGTTCTGTGGTACCTCCAATTTTGGAAACAATTATGGTCATCTACTCATCACCCAATCAAAGACCACAATCAACCTTAACACCATCTCCCTGGCCTTTATATAGGCATCATTTCCATAGACAGGGAGCTCAAACATTTCAAACTACTTGGATAGAGGAAGAAGAAGGAAGAAGTCCTACGACGAACGTCCTCCTCCAACTAGCCTTCTCTCCAAAAAACCTTTTCCTTTCCTTTATTTTAAATTTACTTAGTTTAATTTACGTTTAAATTTAGAATAAACCAACTCAAGAGCCTTAGATTAGGCTTGGGTTTGGGTCTTAATCGGGTTGACTTGAACCCAACCAAACCATAACCCAAACCTAGCCAAACATAACCCGGACCCAACCTAACTGACCCAAACCTAGCCAAACATAACCCGGACCCAACCTGACTTGAACCTAACTCAAACCTAACCAAAATTGTCCCAAACCTAACTCAAACCCAAACCTATCAACTAACACAATCCTATCTTGACCCGAACCTAACCCAACTTGACCTAGACTTAACCCAAATTGACCAAAACCTAACTTAACTTGACCCAAACCTAACCCAACCTTACCTAAATTCAACTTGCCCTAAACGTAACCCAGACCTAAGTTGATCCAAAACTATTCCAACCCAACTCAAACCTAACTCAACCTGACACAAACCTAGCTCAACCTGACCCAAACCCCAACCCAACCTGACAAAACTCAACCCATGTCAAACCAAGTCAACAAAACCCAAACCCAAGTCTAAACGAGCTGGCCCCATATCATATTTGAGCTACAATCTATGTTGACTTGAGCTGGAAATTTAGTTCACCTCAGCTTAGCTATAATGCAAGTCTAGTACGAGCTAAATGTAAGTTGTTTTACATGTCATTCCATATTTCACTTTATGTTTATTCCTTAACAAAAAAATAGAATAACAAAAAAATACATTAAATGAAAAAAAAAGAGAACCACTCACGAGATGGTTCTCTCTAGAAAAAAACAGAACAACTCTAGGGAAATTTTTGGTTATGATAGTGGCTATAGTTGATGGATACCAATGTCCCCAAGATGATGGAGAGGCATTGGCATCCTGATCCGAGACGTTTTCCTAAAGTCTTGATTAGTCCACCCATATGATCTTTTGTACAATTTAGGTTTTCAGTACAATCTAGAAATCCTTCTCACCTCACTCTATCCTTTAGTTTTTTAGTTCCAATCATTTACGTCGGTCAAATCAAATATTTTTAGGTCATCTTTTGACTCTACCTAGACAGTTCAAATGCATTATCAAGTTATTCCAAATTCTTCAACCATCCCTCTTAAGATAGACCTCGTCCCTTGGATATTTGAGTCCCCACATTGGGGCCTTTTCAATGAAATACAACCATTGAACAAGTAAGACCTGTTCTTTTGAGCTTAATTTTCCAACTTGGATGCTTTCCTCACTTATACTAATTCAGTTATGAAAATTTGATCTTTCGATAAACTGATCCATTACATTAATTAAGAGTTTTCTCTCGGGCTCAAAGCTCTAGAGATGTAACTAATTAAGGGGGCTTTCCTTTATAAGAAACGAGAGCAAAAACTAAAATAAACCTTATACTAAGAGAAAAAACCATAGTTCTGTAAACTTCCGAAGACATTCATCATTCGAGTGATCATACCTATTTTTACAGTAATATTTTCTTCATTTAAGTGGTTTTTTTTCCTTTGTAATGTCATGTCAGGTCATCTAGATAGAAGTCTTCCAAATTTTTTTATGGTGTGTGGCGACATACAATAATTCCCCCACCATCGTTCTCCCGATCTAGCACTAGCTCTACATCCAGCTCTTCTTCCAGTTCAAAGTCTCGCCCATTTTATTGAAGGAGGTAGGAATCTATTTATAGATCTGAGAGCGCCTCATCTAGCAATAATGGACTCCTCACCACTCCATCGGACTGTCGAGAGAGATTCTTACTATCAAATGCCATTTTATGAACATTTAAGTGTCTTGATGATGTAAGAATCGAGTGATCTTAGGCTCGTTGGACCCGTTTTGTCGAGACTCTTGATTTGATTATAAGTTTTTCAAATTTAGAATCCATTTAACTTTCCAATTAGACACAAAAAAACATCCAAAAGTGGCTTAACACCTTGATATGGGTCTGATTTGATTAAGATTTGATCAATTTTTGTAGCATTTGGTTTGTCTTATCAAGTCGATTAGTTTGATTATAAGTTTTTTTGAAATTGGAGTTCTGTATGATCATTAATTGAAGTTTGAAAATTTATTGTTAAAAAAATGCTTCAAGACTCATGCTAGCCATCTCGAGATTCTTGTCAAAAATAAATTGTGATGATGACATACTAATAATGGTTCAATTATACATTGAAAGAGGTTTGAAGGTAATCCTAACAAAGTTGCATACTTCATAAAGCGTAAATAATAATTTTAAACAACATAATAAGTTATAAAACATTGCCAAATTTAAAGAAATGTTGAACGGAAGAGTGGCACTAGAAACATTTATTGCAACTCCAAACCATGCTCTTCAATTGTCAGATACAAGGAATATGAAAGGAAGGGGGTCAAGAAACACTCATGGTAGAACAATTGACATTAATGAGAGATTCGACTCCCAATATATAATAAGCAACATATTTTTTATACTTAAATGTTTATATTTAACTATATGACATTATAAACTCTAAATAATATTACAAAAAACCTAATATCAACTTATCAAACATGTGAAGGGAAATTATATAAGTAAATATATAATTCTAAATATTAAATACTAAATACATAAAATTTGCATAAAAAAATTATCAAATCCTCCCAATCCTCAAGCTAATGGGAAACCTAACAAGTTTGGTCTCCTCTCCGTCGTCTCCCCGCGCTCTTCCCAACTCTTCCTTAACCTCGTCGGTCAAAAGCTCCACCCCTTTCTCCCTCGCCGTCTGATACGCCGACCAGGACCTCACATACTCCAAAAAATCTGCCGCCGTCATCTCCCTCTCCGTCGCAAACCTCACAACAGGCCCCGTGCCTTCCTCCCCCTCCACTGCCCTAAACGGAAACTCCACTCCCACATACCCTTCCTCTACCATCTTCCTTTCCTCTGCCCAATACGGCCCTGATTCCGCATAAATTTCCCGGTAGATCTCATCCGCCCTAGATCTCCCGTCGTCGATCACTGCCCTCGTGTAACACCACGCCGCCAGAACCCCGCCTGGACTCAACATCGATCGTGCCTGCGCAAAGAATGTAGGGAGATCGAACCAATGCAGAGCCTGTGCGACTGTGATGAGGTCGATGGAGGCGGGAGGAGCGACGAGGCGGTGGAGATCGGCGAGGGGGAGGAAGGGAGGGGTGAGGATGAAGCGGATGTTGGGGATTTGGGATGGGGTGTGGGAGAGTTGCTCTGGGCTGACGTCCGTCGCTATGACGGAGTCAAAGATGGAGGAGAGGGAGGCGGCAGCGTTGCCCCTGCCCGGGCCCGCGGAGAGGGAGGCGGCAGCTTGGCCGCTGCCGGTGCCGGCGTCCCAAGCGAGGCGGCGGCCGGGACATTTCGAGGCGATGTACCGGAAGAGCTCCAGCGGGTAAGTTGGACGGGCGGTGGCATAACTCTGAGCTTGTTTGCGGAAGAGGTTAGCCATAATGAGTTGGTGATTGATCGGGCTGCTGGACAGATTATAAAGGTGAAGGAAACGGAAATGGTATGGTTGTAATTCAATTTGTCCTTTGCCATTGAACTATTGAATAAAATGGTTAGTACTTCAGCTCTTTCCACGAAGTTTTATAAAAAGGAGGAAGATCTACAGACATGTGACTCAATTGTTATGTGATTACCGATGTAAGACCTAAAATTTGAATTTTTAATTATATCCCACTTATTTATGAAAAAAATGGTGTGTTTCGTTTGAAATAAAATAAAATAGTGCTATTTTTTATGTTATATGAAAAATTTAAATGATATTAATATAAATATTTAAATTAAAAATATTAAATATTATTTATTCTTTTTTGTGATCGCACATAATGAATAGAGTATACAACAAAAGAGAGGAATAGAGAGAAATAAAGAGAGAGTGCATAGTAAAGAACTTATTCTTCTATTGCTGACTGATTAACCTCTTACTATAGAAATGACTCTTTTATTTATAGGCAAAGGGACATCAATCGTATAGTTGCATGCTTTCCTCTATTTTTATGAGGGAGTTCCAAAATATTTCAGGTAAAAAAAAAACCTATGACTCGGCTACTCTATCACTCGGTCGGTTGAGATCAATAGTACTTAAGCCAACGCAACTCGTTCGGTTAACTCTGTTGAGTTGGGGCAGCCGCTCGGATTTGATTTTCTTTCGGTTGACGAGTTCTTTTTTCGGTTCGCTTCGTCTGCCGATCCATTGTGTTTATCTGATGGTTGACTGTTAATTCATAGATGAAAAACTCATCCAGTTATGATGAGACTAGGGTGTCTCGCAGATGGTGGATCACCGTTATCTGACATGCAACTTACTCCTTGAAAAGGTGATCCACCTGGAGTGTTCGTGGTGTATTTTGATGAGAATCTTAGGGGTTCTTGTGAGGCCAATAACAATGTGGGTATGAGAGTTAGGCTGGTGTTCTTGGTTCGATATTCTTGATCTTTGACTTGATCAACCTTTGTTTGACCAGCTTAGGTTCAGACTCTAAGAGAGTTGTAATTGGTTAGTCAGGCTTTTTAGTCTTTCATTGATGTGTCCTTTCATATCCCTTATGTGGGCCATTATTGACTGCACTTTTGTTTTTAGTTCGTTCAATTTCCTCAAGATTTGTATTGATAAATTTTTGACATAGATATTTAGTTTACTGATTCTTTTACTTTTCGAAACTTGTGCTGCGATAAGAAAAAGGGAAATTAATGCAAAAGACATATTCATTTTTTTTGTAATCAGTACTTTAATAATTGAACTCCCTGAATTTTCATTTCCTTAACCTTTTATAAATATGGCATGGTTACTCCTTTTGTTGATACTTTGCTGGAGAGCATGTTTACCAGTTGGTGAACTCCAAGAGCATTTCCATGGCAAGCAACACTAACTTCATGGACGATGATGTCCTTAATTAGGAAATGTTGTTAAAGGTTTTTGAGGCTTTTGCATTGTGATTTCAGTTTGATAAGGAACTTGAGAAGAAGGAACCTGAGGGAGTTAGCAGCTTCTAGGGCGAGAAGTTTGGAACTAAGAAACTGGGCAAAGGGAGCCGACCCGAGAGCACAAAGAAACTCGTAGCGATGAAGAGGCTGGGAGAATGGAGTCGTGAGGCGAGTTAAGTAACTCACTTACAAAAAGAAGCAGGTGGAACATTCAAAGGACAAGGTTGCATCGTCTAACTCGCTAAAAATTCCTTGGAAAAAAGTGGGAGGTAAACCGTCCAATAAATCTGTTGGTGCGCCGAACCCTGCTCTTTTTGCGGCCGTTGAACAGTTGATTGATCAACCTGACCAAGGGAAGGACGGAGCTTCACTATTCGAAGATCAGATCTATTCGGTTCTACAACCGGGTTTTGAAAGCAGAATGTGGGCGTCCTGAAAAAAGTGTGTGTATGGGGGGGCTACGGTTCCGAAAGCAGACCTTCGAGAGAAAGTGAGTGCCTCGTTCATACTTGGTTGAGTTGTCCTTATTTTTGGTGGTCTGAGTTAGATCAAGCCCTGGGTATGTGGAGATGATCTAATATGATTATAGCTTCCTTTTATGTACTAATGTTTGTTTATTGATGCAACTAATGTGGTCCTGAACGTCAATTCCCATCTGCCAGGTGTCTGTTGAGTTCCCGCTTCTGTGACAACTTAAGGAATCTCAACCCAGGCGTAGAGCAGGGGGAAAGAGGCCAGCACCCTGATTGTTCTTTAAGAAGGCCCTGAAAGGAGAACCAGACTGGAGCATCTACAGAGTTAGCAGCTCTTCGAATAGAGTTGTCCAAAGTTTAGGCAATCTGCTCAGTTTTACAAATCCAAGCCAGGTCTATACTGTAGATAGGTTTAAGCTTACGTTTAGGGTGCGTGTGTTGTACCATAAGTTTCTTCATTGGGGGTTTGTCTTGGTTGAGGCGACTGAGGACCCACTTATAAAATACTTTTTATCTGAATGAAGAATTATTTTTTATTAGTTCTCATAAAAAAATTATTTATGCATTTACTTTTCCCTCAAATTTCTTGTTAATGTGATTTGGAATTTTGAAATCGATGCATGGCTCTTTTGCGAAATTTGAACTTCCTCTAGCACCCTATGTATGAGGGTTAAGGGTTGGATTTTTCTGCACATTCAATCTCTTTTCCTTCATTTAGTCATTTTTTTCTTTTTCTCCTCTCTTGTTTTCACTTGAATGGCCAACAAGTATTCGTCCAAACACCTTGAGATGCTCCCCATGATTGAGCTCTCAACATTGACTTCAGTCGATGTTGTCTCACTTGCGAATATGTATTCAATGATGAAATCCACCTACACGCTGTCGACACGAATGATCGGGTGACCGATGAGTTTGGTAATGATAAGATAATGCATTGAGTCCAATTCCAGTGGGGTCTTAAGATGTCTCTTTACAAGGAGATCAGTCCATCTTGAACCACTACAACGTGAACCCAACCCAAATAAAGACGAATTTGATTGCAGCCATCATGTCGTACGTGCTCTACTGCTGATGGAGGGAGTTTTTTTGGTCATAGGAACTCTTCTCCTACATGTTCTCCTTCGAAGTGGAGATAAATGATTATATGGTCTTTTGGTCGACCCAAAAATTCTACTTGGTCGGCCTTGAGAAGAAGATCAAAGACTAGAAGTGTTGGTTCATTCCCAAGTCGACCAAATATTGAGGGATTCAACCTCGTCCGACCAGATGAAGAAGATGAAACTCATGCCTCCCCTGATTCAGGACCTAGCTTAAGAAATTGAAGGGAGGGAGTTGTCTGTGGTTGTGTTGGTTCATTCCCAAGTCGACCAAATATTGAGGTCCTCCCCTGATTCGGGACCTAGCTTAAGCAATTGAAGGGAGGGAGTTGTCTGTGGTGCAGTACACTGTTTGGTGGTTGTGAACAAAGTCATGAACCCATACATGTTTGGAGTCATGACTGCGGAGTATTGCGTGGCATCAGATGCTGCTAAGGAGAAGAGAAAAATGGACAAAATCTTGTAGCCTACCCAAAAGAAACCACATTATAAGGTGGTCAGTACCAAGTTTGCAAAAGAAGTAAGGGAAGAGGAGGAAGAGATTGCCCACCTTGACATTAAGATCCCCGGCTCGGACTATGTTCACTCTGTCTCGAAAAATACTAAAGTAATTCAAAGGGCCTACAATGGGGAGGTAATTTTAATTATGTGAAAACCTTCCTTGATTAGTTTATGTTCTTTGAGGGTTTATGGAAGAGGATGGCTAGACTCTGAGCTACCCGAGCAATGATGTTGAGCATACTTGGGCTAATAATTCAATGAAAACTCGATGACTCAATGACAGACAACCTCTACCCCCTTCATTGACCATGCCACAAGAGGTAAGGCCAGTCAACCTTGCCCTAGTGTATCTATTGATGAAGGGGCATCAAAAGGGGAAGAGGCTCAGGTTTATCCTTAACCAGAGAATGAGCCTACTGCTTCTGTCAAAGGCTGTCGTAGGAAGGGCAAGGCCTCAATGGGTGACTTAGGCTCTAAATTTCCCTTGCCTCTAGAGAAGAGATAAATAAGATTCACTTGCAGCTGAAGCCCCATGAAGTCTTTGTCACCAAAGAATCAACTTCACCTTGATCGACATGTAAAGGGATTGGCACCATAGAGGCCCAGGTTCTAACAAATGCACACCAACCATTGCAGACGTTCTTTGGTTTGAAATTTTAAATAAGAAATTGGAAGATTTCAACGATCGAGACCTATGTCAGGCGTTCAACTGCTATCGCTTACTAGGCCTCGCTTTCACACAACATCTAACTTCTTAATACGTCGATGCCAAGGAGGCAATATATAAGATGGAGAAGAAGGTCCATATTGTGAAGGACCTTGCGTAGGTGGCTGAGGAGGAAGCAACCGAGACAAAGGATCAAGTGGCTGAAGTTGAGGAGGTGCTGAAGAACATGTCTGAGTGGCTCTCTACAATTCAGGATGAAAATGAAGCTTTATCTCAAAAGGTGGCGATGATGAAGGCACCATAGACATTTGTTGATCGTCAGGCCAAGCACCTCTAGCTTGGCATGAGATTAATGATTGACCAATTCGTGCATGTCGGAATGGTTGACAAGAAGTATTCCAACTTAGATGAATTCACCATGCTTTTTTTCCACCGCTTCAACACCTACAACACTGACCAAAAGATTTGGCAAATCCCAGGATGAACAGGTGCAGACGATGACTTGTCCAATACATGTCCAACTACTTTGATCCCTACACTTAGGAGACTTTATTTTTTGTTTGTTGTGGGGGGAAAACTTATAATAAAAAATTCATCTAGAGGATTTTTAATAAGTTTTGTAATGAAGGGTAAATTTTTGTAACTGACTGACCAAAGGAAATTATATTGAGATTTTCATACCTACTTTACTCTCTTTTTGATGATATTGCACTTTAAAGAAAGGTATTTTTGATGTTTTGTTATAGGTATGATGAATTATGGTCATTGGAGCAAAAATATGTAAAAAGGAGCGAATTTGGAGCAAAAATGACCAAAGTATGAAGATTTGAACTAGGGCTCCGACGGCGAGCCCAACAGCGCCGACGGTGAGATTTTCCCGAGACCGAGCCCCGGAAAAAAATTATAAGAGAAGCCCCGCCGATGGTGCCCTCGAGGCCGCTGACGGCGAGATCGGTGGTTATCTCAACAGGTGAATTGAATGTGGATGATTTTTCGAGGGATGCTTAGG